ATGACGCTCAGAGCACCATCCCGTGATTGTTTTCCCCGTGTGCCAAGGGATTCTATAGCCATCAGAGGGCTAACAGTATTTTCATCGTTCCGGGTGTTCGTCGATGTCTGCATTGATTGCGGGTATAAACGCACAGGTCGAAACCATGCATGTCTTATAGGATGCCTCAGGCAGCTCTCAGGTTGATAAAGTTGAATACTACATATTCTCGATCTCCCAGCCGACTGTCCCGAGTCGAATGTTTTGGCCCAGTATTTGCAAAGCCTTGCAAAATCCAATCTTTAGGTTGCACTACTCATCGTTGCAGTATTCACGCTCTGACTTGGATCCACGTGGGCTCCGCGGACACCCTTCAGGACGATTGACACAATTGAGAGTAATTTGCGGGTAGTGCGATCGGCGCCCCTGACCGGAGCGTGGTGAACCGGACGGAGTATCAACCGCCAGCCCCCCCTAGGCGCAGGTACCAAAAGTTAGGTAAAGTGGCCCCGCGACTGTACGCTTAGAAGTAACCAACAACCCCCAAAAGTCACCGATTTTCGCACAATCAATTCAAATTCGGAATTTCGCCGAGCACCCGTCAGGGATGAGAGAACGATAGGATTTGATGATCCGTGATGCTCATTGGTAATTCAGAAAGATCTATTTTGCATTACTCGTCTAAAGGATAAAGAGCCCCGAGGCCACTGAGCAACTTACGGTAGGCCTCACACAAAACCACATAGCTCTGACCAAACATGCTGACCAGACATGAGCTCCGCAATCCAAGAAAGCTGATTACCAATGCCCCACAGCCCGCAATGGTAACACCCCATTTCAACTAAGTAGACCTGGCTGGGCTGAGTAAGGGGACGCAGAACTTTAAACAACAACGTAGTAAACTAATTCCCTGATCATCATTGACTCATCTGTAAGAGTAAAATTGTGAAATACATTTAAAGAATGAAAGTATGTTACAGTCTGACGCATGTCCCCGGTTCCGGCGCTAGTCATCAGTGTCTAGCTACTAGTTTCATAGCGCCTACTGATTAGCTGGTTGAAAGAACACCGTTAAGTGGCGGAAGCCGACAAAGCGTACATTTGATTATATTATAGAGAGAACGATGTTTATACAGATTATGATGGATCAATGTCAAAATCAGTATTTAGTTCAAGTTTCAGGCGTATACGTATTAAGGACGACTTCGCGACTGAAGACCAATCTCAATCACGCTAAAAAGAGGCTTTAAGGGTTGTAATCCTTGTGAGCATCCTGGGCAGTGGCATATAACAACCGAGAACTCCTAACAAATAGGTCTGGTACTTGGCAGGTAACTCAGTTACTCAAGACACTCACTCTCCATAAGATGGACGCTCGATGCGAAAATCAAAATGAGCTTCCCGGTTCGACGCAGCTTCTGGACGTGATACGGCGTAACCGTTAGCGCGTACGAGTTTGGTTCCCAACGAGGCGGAGTTAAATCTATAACAGATAATGTCAGTTCCGACGAGAATAGCAAGTAGAGCTTTTGCGGAACATATCTTGGCCGGTGCCTTATAAGGATAGCTACTAGAGTCCTATCTTAAGTCGCATTCTCGGTAACCCGCTCGATGTGCACTAGAAAATTCACGAGAGCTTGTCAGATGCGGTCGAATTCCCTCATGATGCGGCGCCTTTGGGATAACTGGACGAAAAGGGGCAGTGACTCTACGAATACGCCCTGATTGATGCCGGTCGCTGGAAAACGGAATTCGCCCCCAATAGTAATTCAGCAACAGTTGCCTAGTGCGTTCCATACTTTGAGCTATCTCATAGTTTCTCACTCCGTGGGTGGGCTGATGTGCCTATTTGGACAAAAGTGCCAATGATATAATAGCGCATGGCTAAACTTCAAAAAGAATACCTACTACCAATTGAGCTGTTCGGTCGTTTCGTTTGGAGGTTAAATACTTCTCGCAAGTACTCGTGGCACGAGTGCGTCTTCAGCCCAAAGTACCTTTTCACGCATCAGCACCTGTACACCGATATTCGTGGCGCAATGCCAGCTGACTCCGTCTGTCTTGACGTTGACTGGGCCCCAGAGAGCGTCAGCTCGGATCGGTCCTATTTGTTATGGCCAGGAAGACTCAATGCTATTGCGCGCTTGGCTAGCAAGATGCATTAAGAGGAGAGGCTGTCAGCCGCCGCATCCCGCTATGCATTAGCTAACATTGGTTCGCACTAGTCATCTCACATACACGGTGCACGCCGAGCCGGCCGTCATGAGTAACGGCTCAACTATTGACCCTGCCCACTGACAATAATCAAACCCAAGTCGTGGTTGTTTCAGAGTTAGTTCTGAGACAGGCAACTCTCCTCAATTCGGTGAACATTTATAACACCGCGCTTCATGTCGCCCTCGCTAATCGGGGATATTAGGATGGGCTAAAGCGGGTGTAGGTTTAGACTATAAGTATCATCTCGTCGTGTTGCTGTGCCCAATAGATATGCTCCACCGCAAAACAGGATCATTCAGTATTCAGAGGATCTTTTTCCAAGACCTGCGGTAAAACAGAACCTGTGTGCCTTTGCCCAAAGTGCGCTATGCGCGACCGGATGTCATCTGTACAGCGGAAACGCAGGCAAGTGGTTAATCACTTCCACGAGAAAATGGCGATCCTAAGTGCCCGTCAGTAGGAACTCACAACTTTACTATTTATCGGGGGTTGTTTTGTCAGATGCAAGAGATCGTCTGGAGTATCTTGGTGAAAGTTAGCAACTCCGTTTAAGGAGAAGAGTTAGACTGAAAGATGTTAATAAAATACTGGGCACGCAATATTCGCGATCGTGAGCTAACAGCGGTTTCCCATCTCCCACATGCTAGCGGTTTCGTTGTGATTGGTATATCGCACGACGCCAATACGAGTATTCCCGACCCAAACCTCCAGCGCGAACGGAAGGGCGGAACTCGGGATCGTCATGTATCAAGAGAACATCTCATGTATGGTGCCTTGACCGCACATGAGGGGGAGGCTTAATATTCTGACTCATTTGGTTAAATGTTGATGCTAGGACAGAGGGGTAGACGATGGATCTGGCGACGGCATCGCTGTTTATGTTAAGTTCCTGTGCTCAGATAATAATGTGCCTGACGCGTGTAACTATCTTTACCGAGTCATGCGGGAGTCCCCAATCATGCTCCAAGTCTTCTTCACATGCATATCGTGTCGTTTGTCACGGACTGCGCCTCCAGCAGCTCCCACAGTTCCCCGCGGCTCGTTGTCTACTAATTTGTGTTGTGAAAAGAATGTTCTGAGTTCGAGCATAATTGTTAGAGGATCACATAAGTATTAAGAGTCCTGAAGCACCGAATACTACAATTCTGACAAGGTGTTTATCATTGCTCTTTAGCTGGCGAAAAGTATCCATCGGCTGCACAGGGCATGTTCCCGAGGATACATCCCACAGGTCGGGTCCCGATCTGGATGTCTGGAGACATAGGATATACACAGTCCGAGCTGGCCCGCGTCCTTGCACCAACTTATTCGACCGCGTCATCGTGCGGCTCTTTGTATGACCAAGAAATGTCGTGCAGGCGTTTCGTAGGTCAGGGATCGACCAAAGAGAAGCGGTGGTCACTGTCATCTCATACAAGATGGGTCGTGATCCAGGCTGCTTCGGTATTTGTGGCCGCGCTACGATGTCGTGTAATCGTCTCCGAGAGTGATGACTGAAAGCCAAAGTTACTGACCTCCTCGCTTTCCCACGCTCGACCGTGGGAGCGGTGGCGAGGCCAGACACTTCTGGTAGACTTCATTTGTTTACTAAACTTAGCACGCGATGAGTATCAAGTTGCACCCCAAATCTGTGCAGCCCTGCGTCGGTTGAATCCTTAGGCTCGGTAGGCTGTTTTAAAGATACTCCCACCAAGCGGAATACATAGCTTCAGGCGTAGCCAGGGTGTGGTCGGCTTACTTGCATAATGTTCTGCAGTCAGAAAACTGCTATCGGGATCTAGTGAAGGAGACCGATATTTTCGAGGGTGGGATTTGGTTGAAATATAATTTTATCACATGAATCTGTATGTGCCTGTTGAACATTCACTTTCGGATCGTCAAGAGCCTTTAATCCGACATGTACGTCGTGCGAGTATCTTTATAGCAGCGGAACAATCAAGGCAGGTCTCCCAGTACGGCGTCCAAGCCCGGTACCCGCGCAGGACCTACATCAGCCCCACCTTGAGCAAGTTGCGCGTTGAGCGAGTGGAAGGACACATAGTGTGCTAGTAACAGCAAATTCCAAAATATTAGAAAGTTACAGCCAAGCTTTCGCGTGGTTCGCGCCGGAGGCCTCGGCTCGCCCCATGGCCCTCTCCGGTTTACTGCTTTACATTCCTGGGCCACTAAGTCGGAGATTATACCTTGGGAGCTGCAAGGTATGATGCGTAGCAACAATACCGTGTCCGAGCACCGGTTAGATTTCGCAAAGCACAGCACTAGCTACAAGAGATAAATTGTTTGACGTACCTTCCTCGCCGAGTATCTATTGAAAGGGCTTCGGAGTCATTAGGGAAATGCCATTCTGGAAATCTCTAGGTCGGAAGAATTGTAGCAACATTGAGCGGTTAGTGTCGGGTGATTCTAGAGTGCATCGGGCGATGCTGCGGGCCCAACATGGAAAGTATATTCCTGATAAGCCTCCGCACTTGAACCAGAACGCGCCAACTAGGGTCTACAGGAACCGCGGCAAGTGTAATGCATACCTTCTACTCATAAATACCGACAAACCTATCTTCCGGGAGGCACGCTCTTAAGATTCATATTATTTTCGAGTCAACCAATAATGAGAAGTGATCCTTCAGCATAGGTCCTCCTCGCCTGGACGAGCAGCCACTACCGGCTCCTGAATCCATGAGCGAATCATCACGGGCTTATGAAGCGTCGGTGGGCTTACGGCCAAATTATCCCAAGTTAGACTCTATTGACTTTCACAAATGACAAGATTTCAGTTAAAAGCAAACCCCACACGTCCCTTGCCATCGATGGGGAACGCTCCAATCTCACTGCCCCATGCCTTGGAGAAAGAAAAGCGCATACAATTTTACAGTAAGAAGAGTGAGTTGAAGCATGACCTCGGAGTATTGGAGGAGTATGAGCTCAAATTACTAAATGATAGGAAATCTGAAGGTATGACATGAATATGCAGAATTTTTTTTCGAATGCATAGCACATTAATGCGTCGAAGCCCATACTGACAGTCTTTTCATGAATTTACTTTGTATTGCCAACGCATTTTCGTATGTGAAAGTATTAGTTTAATAGTAAACATGCTGGTGAATTGCATCTTTATTGTACTGGAAAAATAAGTTATGTATAGGGCAACATGATTTCTGATATGCTGCAGAAAATTCATGACTGATATTTCCTATAATTATTGTTTTGCTGTATTGCAATACTCATTTATTGTTGTCTTGACAGAACTGAAGTTGCAGCAGCAATTAAACAAATTAAAAACGTGTGTGCGCTTGTTTCAAAAAGAACTAAAGGATGTTGCGCAGAACTCAGAATGTGAGTATGCTTATTTTGGTCTGTTTTGCTTTAAACCTTACGCATTTTGTCTTACTGTCGTGTGAATTACATACAAGTTAAAATACATGACTGGAAATGAAAATGTTGTTTTTAGTTGTCAACAAGCTCAAGGGGACCATGGAGGAGGTTGAAAGAACCATCAGCTTCTTTAAAGAACAACAAAGAGAACTGTACGTATACAGTGCGTGTGCTTTTTAGATGTGTGAATTGAGCTACAAGTAGGTTATAATGTAATGCAACATTAATAACAATGTTACCTCTAGTTTAAAAACGTCAGTGGTAACTTTTTAATCCCCATAAATACTTGAAACATGTACTGTCAAACTCTTTTTATGTTACCTTCATGTTTATACAGTATTTTGGTCATGAAAATTATCTCTTTTAGAACATACCTTACATAGAGAAATGAATGTGATACTTTTAACACAATTTTTTTTGTTAAAATTGTTGAATGTCACGTTGTGAGTTACGATGCTGTTTTGACTTTGCATCCATGTGCGTGTATTGCTCATAGGCGCTCATTTAAAGTGCAATTAAGGAAATGTGCCTGTTTTCGTGAAAATATGCAGCTATGAGCATCTAATGAAAGATGAGAAGATGACAAGTCAGGAGATTGGTGCTTTGGAGAAGAAAATTGAATCCTGGTCCCAGGGTCATCTAATCCCAGGATAACAAAATCTGCTGTTGCTGCTAAGGTCTCTGCATTGCAGATACATTTTAGAGACTTATTGAAATATATGTATTTTGAAATGCAGACAATATTAACTTTTACAGCTTGCGATATATTTTTACCGAATCTCAATGCTATTTCTACATACTTGTGTAGTTTTATTCTGCATTTGGTCACTAAGCTATATTATGTTTAATCGTTATGTAGTGTGATAACAGGGGCAATTACATATATATTGATTGCAACAGAAAAAACGTATTTTGTTGTACATTTTGTTAACTCAGGAAAGGAAATAAAATAGTACATCACTGCTTTATGGTCCTATGCATAAGCTAATTTCATTTTTCAATCTCCAGAGTCATCGGCCTTTTGGGTGTGTTTTTTCCTTTGCCAATCTATTACCAGTCTCATCCATCGGCTGTCTGCACCTTATAGCATTGTGTCTTGCCCATGCTCACATGCTTCATGAACAGTCAACGTGATATCTATAATTTGTGTGTGTTCTCTGATCCATATGTTTCAATGCTGTTTTTTATTTGCAATATCTCGATGCTTTACAAACGTTTCAGCTTTTGTTCCATGTACATTAATGATCAGAGTCCATATTTCCAATCCGTGTTATTAACAGGTTGCATGCCAGCATGTACAATTATATAAATAAATTAATTATATTTCGACATTCTATTATTTGTATTGAATGTTGCTCAATAAGTTTAAAGAATTACATGTTTTTGGTGTTAAGTTACCCTTCTGATTATTATTTTACTGAAATGTGATGCACAGGTGCCTTTATCCAAAACCATTGAGGATGACCTGCCAGCAGAGGTGGTGGCCTTTGAGAAGTTCCTGCAGCAGAGTGGAGGTCGACAGGGTGGGTGGGACGACTATGACCATCAAAACTTTTTGAAGGTACAATAGTTTTTAGTAACTTTTAGTCATGACACCTCTCGCCCCATGTGTTGCATCGTCAGCAATAGATTTTGGTTTCCAAGAGGTTTTCAGGTATGGGTATATTCTGCTTTCCAGTCTGGATATAACAACTATTTCTTTAGGTGCGGACAAGGCACAAGGGGAACTTGTTGTTTATAGAGGAGGCCTTAATTATCTCCCTGGACGGACACGTGAAGATGTGGAACAGCATGAGACCTGGTACAAGGAGTTCCTCGACCTGGAAGATGAAAAAAAGGAAGCAATTTCTCGTTGGAAGGTACATGATACTGCTTACTCATGGATTATGGGTATTATTTTGTCACTTATTTTTTTTTAGTGATTAGTTTTATCGTCAAATGAAGTACTCTATTGAGTGCCAGTTATACATTGTAACATGTGCCGTACATTCATGAAACATGTCCATTTGTTAATAAAAGGCTTAAAATACAAAACCTAATTTAAAAGGCTATGACTTTAAACTATACGTAGTGAATCAATCACATCATCATTGCTCGTCTCAAAATCCCAAGTTATGCAGGGAGCGGAGCGAGCAGAGAAACTTGCCAAGCAAGAGAAAAGTTCAGAGGGGCAAGATGCAGAGAAAAAGGACCAGGAGGAGGCTTTGTTACGAAGCTGAAGCAGGAACAATTCCAGAAACGTGAAAAGATTAATGCCTGGAAAGCCCAGCAAGAAAAGGTAAAAGCCAACACCTGCAATTCTGAAGTATAACGGGGCTGCAAAATTCTAAATATTAAACTGAGTACTTTACAGACATGGTTATTGGTGAAATTAAGTGATCGGAAGTATTATTGTTCATATATTGAGTTTGTGTGAGCTCTCAACAAGGCACTGTTTAACACAGTGTGTCATTAAGTTCTAGATTTATAAGCGTGTGGATTGATTTACACACCAGAAGATGCACCTTTTCGTCATGCACATGCTAAATCTGCATTATTGGGATATGCAGGCTCGGGCAGATGAGGAGAAGCGGCGGCAGCATGAGGAGGAAGAGCGTGCGCGACACAGGGAACGTGAGACGCAGCGCCAGGCTGAGCTTCGAGTCATTGCCGGGGACATGTGCGGCGGAAACGGCAGCTGAAGGAGCAGCGCGGCGAGACGAAGAGCTCCGGGCGCAGGCCGAGCGGGAGGACAAGGCTCGTCTGGCCGCACAAGAGATCCAGCGTTTCCAGGAACGAGTGGGTGATTTTGCAATTCCTCCTTAATTTTTTTATTCAAGAGGTTCCTGATGTGTTTAAAACCAAGCATGAATCCGTGTTAATGTTTATGACGGAAATCCAGGAAAACAACATGTAAAGTTTATTTTGTAAAATAAATAAAATCTACGTAGATTTAGATAAAATATAAAGAGTGGTGTTTTGTCACGCTGCATATGAGTTTAAGATAATGTATACAGTTACCTGTGTGTGATTATAGGATCAGGAGAAGGTTGAAAGCAAACTTCTGGAGAAGAAAGCCAAAGAGCAAGAAGACATTGAACGAGACAGGCGTCTTGCTAAACTGAAACAACAGGTTTGCCTTTGCGGATGTGGACTGTTATATACTTTATGATGAATAGTTTTTGTTGGATTTGTACTTAAATTTTACAATAAATTGTAAGGAAGTTAAAGGTTAGGCTATATTATACATTGGTTCTATCCATTCGTTTGTACATTGCAGAAACTTAATGAAATAATTCAAGTGGAGGCTATGAACATTTTTAAACGGCTATAGAGTAAAACCTCTTGAAGCCATGCTTATTGGGGGAGAGCATTCTGGTTATGGAGGATGTCCGGCATCCAGCATATAATAAATAATGCATAATTACACAGTTACATTATAGTTACACATAATTATCACCGAGTTTATTTAATGGAATTAAATAACTAAAAAGTATTTACAACTTAATATTTACAGTTTGAAAACATTAAACTATAACAGTTTAATTATAGTATCTTATCATTATGGTAAGTCAGTTCATTACTAGATTAATGCCTCGCATATTGTGTTGGTTTTGAGGATTGTTTGACCATACACCACGCTGAAGGGAGGGCTCAGGAATCGTTTTCGGTGTTTCTACCCATTGAAATTAGCCATGGATGCAATCCAACTTGGGTTGCTGCCCCAATTGTGAAATAACATGCACTGATTAATTATGCATCTGGCATAATGCATGGTTATAGAGTGAGTGTTTTATTTGATTTAGTTCACAGTACAATATATCTGGGCAATGTCTCTTAAAATGGCAAGTGTTCGTGCTCTTGCTGAAGCACGCGCATCTGGATGATGTTCCGGAACAGGTGGATGTGCACGTAGAAAGGGACCCCAGCAGACTCTTGAAGCTCACTAAGGGTTGGCTGGAAAGAACCAAACATATTGGGCCTTCTGGGGGAGGTCCACTTTTAACAATCCCTCACAGGTAAGGACCATGTACAAATATAGTGTAATTAATTTCACTTGTCAGATGTGAGTTAATGGAGTGAATTGTTGTTAGCATGTAGCTTTGTTTCATAGGAGTAACTAAATCTAAATCTGCATGCCAAAGTTGATCATATAAATGCTCAGCTAATACTTTTGGTATATGTCATAGTTGCACATGATGATGTGTTAATAAGTGTACACTGTACATTAGTTATGTAGATAAGCATAGTTAAATCAATGTAAATATTAATATATGTATTTCCATTATATCATTATTAGTTAAATTGTAATTGTATGACCTGCTTTATTTAAATTATAAAATACAGTCTTTCTTTGCAGAGCCGTTCCTGACTGGAGACAAGGACTCTAATTTTCACCATAGTGGAGGTTTGTTCAGGCAGTACATTGTGTTAACAATAATCTATTATATTAAACAAGGTTGACCACAGTAGGTTTACCACAGTAGTGTCTGCTAAACCTGTTGTTTGAAACAAATATTGTGAAATATTTTGAGGTGCTAACTTTAGCAATTCGAGGCGATGAATAATGCAATCAGATTTAATCACTGGCTTCCAAACATGATCGAGTATTTTTCTATATCAAGAATCGATTGTACAACTTGAAAGGAGGTTTTCATTATCCTCGTGTAAAATGTTTCTACAGAGTTTAACATTGTAATATTTGCGTCAATTGTGTAACGGTAAATAACATACAGTCATTGATTAAATCAGTTTTGCCTCCGTTTTTTTTAAATAAGAGTAAGTGCAGAGTCATGGCATGATTGGGGTATTAAAATTTTGAGTAAACATTCAGTAAACAGGTCGACAAACTGTGTACCACCAGCTAATTATGCTACACTGATGATTTCCAGTTATTCCATCTGGTACTGGAGCTATCCTTTTTCATATTGAAAATGGCAGTGGTTGTTCCCGCATGTGTGATATCTGTAAATCATGTGAAAAACTATCCTTCACCTGTGGAGTTGAATTTGCTGTAGGGACGAGCGTAAAATAACACGATGTTATATGATTCTTTGTCGAAATAATGTTTCATTATTTTTATGTATTTCTTGGCTGTGAGCTCCCGCAGATGTTATTCTCCCTTATTCCTCTCTCCGATGCCAAATTAACCAACCATCCTGTCGTCCTCTTACCTACCCTGGTATTGAGGTGCCTCATTTCCTATGGTGCAGTGTGTTTTGATGTCATTTAGATGTTGGTTAATCTCTTCATACATGTAGGCTAACTGATACATCTTGATGGCTTGTTGTTGGAGCATACATTTGAATGACTTAACGTGTATTCATTAGAGAGTCTTAACTTACATTTGGCAATTCTATCACTTGAAATACTTTTGAATCCTAAAATCCTGTACTTTATTCCTACAGTAAATAGATTCAGGATTTTTTCTGTGTTTCCTATTATCTTATAAACTGATCTCACAGTGATTATTGTTGCTCTCTGATGTGTTTTATGGTCTTACCTTGTGTTCTTTTGCATTCTATCCCACCTTTCCCTCCACATATTGCGAACTTCTTCAATAATTGAATTGAGCAGCTCACATTGACATTGTCATTACCTGTAGAGGGAGACAAAGTCACTGGGTTGTTAGACTTACTTGAACATGCTGTCATTTACAAACCACATTTAGATCAGGAATTGGTGGTTAAACATTAATTGTGCATATTAGGAGCCTGCAATTAAAAGTGTGATTTATGCATGTTTTAAAAGTTTAATGTTTTATATATTTTTAATAAAGTGGCATGAAATGCATCAATTTAAAAAAATGTTTGAATTTTTTTTGCAGGAAACTAAAATTATATTATGTTATATTTAGCACAAAGTGCCACATCGAGTTTTTTATTAACACATTTTTGTAATATTTTTTCGTTCAAGTGTATATGATCTAAAAAACACAAATTTTGAATCTTCATATTCAAACGAAAAAATTATCAGTGCTCATGAACCAACCACTTTGGAATGCTGTACACATGTTTATTTTTTTAGGTGAGTAGAAATAATTGATTAAAAACGTCTTGGGAATAATATTCTGCCACAACATAGTGTCAAATCCTGCAAAAACGTGTCGGATTTAAAATAACTGTCGGACCTCAAGGCTGATGAGGTACGCAAAGTACTACCTTTAAAAAACGGAAAGGACATAATATTTCCCGTGCATCTCGACACACAAACAACTTGACATTTATGCGAATCAATTATATATTGAATTTATTGTGGGAATGTATTCTTTGCCAATGTATTGTGGAAAAACAGTGAAATTTATTTGGCCATTTTATGCTGAAAATTGGCAAAAAGCTTTTCATAATGCCCTAGTCAGGACCCATGTGCCAAACAAGTTTACCACAATGTTAATACAACAATTGGATATCGGAGGGAATAAAAGACCCACGCATTATTAAAAACTATTTAGGAATAACTGTTTTACACATTTGATAACTCATAATAAGCTCCATTTGTGTTTTTACACAGTGTCTTTAATGTTTGTTTATGTTTGAAAAATGCCTTTAAAATCAGGCAGCATGTCCTATCAAAGACAGAAATATTTTTGGAGATCAACTTTAGTCAGTGCAGATTCAGATCTAATGACATTTTGAACACTTAAAATAGCATGAATAAATGTCTGCACCAGGGATAAGAGGTAAAGTATAATTTGTACTTTTGGTAACGTATTCACTTCTCATTTTTTATTATTTATCTAAATGGAAGACATCGTGTAGATTTCATGTTTTAATTGATCGACGTTTGTAAACAAACGTATTGAACGTAAATGAACGTTAGAAAATAACACTACAAACAACTCAACAGATTTGTCAATAACACTGCCTTAAAATAAAAAGGATATAATCGGTGACGTTTAGGGAAATGGCCCTTCTTCATCACACATAGGCCAGATAAGTACAAAGTGGAACAAAGTGCCAGCACTTAGTATCTTTTCATGTTAAAATTTTAAAAGTTAGTTATTTGTAATGATAAAATTATGATTGCACATTTTACCTACGTAATGTAAAACTGTAATCGGAAAATAATTCACTGATAAATGTGAGGACAATTGAGCAAGCTAATTGTGTATACATTAGCAATTTTAACCACATACATTTTCTATTTATGATATTAACATTAAAACAATGGGCACTGTTTACAATGAATTGCCAATTTGTTGCCAAGTTTTACAATTATACCCAAGTGTATTTTATTCATAAATAAACGTTTCAGCACAAAATATGTCAGATTATGTAAAAAAAAAGTTTTATGTATAACATTTAGCGTTACAAACCCAAGTATATGATTATGGTGAGAATATAGAGATTAGGTAGCTAATCTTACAGAAATGTGTCCATGCAACTAAAGGCATACAAGATAATTGGAGGGATTACAACTATTGTAAGGAATGGACAAAATATGATTTATAGTTCCAATATGTTACAGTTAAAAAGCAATAAAACTTTTCAGATAATAGCTATGCAATAAAACCAATCAGTTCTAAGAGAATGTGTAATTAAAAATATGCGATGATTGAATATATTTTAGAACGCGTTTGTTTTCCCAAACTTCTTGGTTCTTTCGGTAAAGTCACGTAGAAGGGAAGTAATAAAATAATAAAATTAAACATAATAAAACAAGTTTTTATTTTTATTATTTTATTACTTCCCTTCTACGTGACTTTACCGAAAGAACCAAGAAGATGAATCCCTGCAGTCACGAAATCTTTAAATCGAAATTTCCCAAACTTGTAACATATTGGTCATCTGATGACCAGTATATACATAAAAAGTGTTATTTGGCCCAAATAAACAATAGTTTTATATAATTCAAATTTGTATAAATAGTCAATTTAACATGTATGCTTTCGCGACCAATATCTATAATAGAGGGGTTTTTATGGTGTTAGATTGCGTGAATATAAGTGTGTCATAATTGGTTCTTTACCCTTCTATCTGGCAACAAAACTGACACCTTTTTGCAAGGAGTCATGTTTGCATAGACCGCAATACCTGCAGTCATAATACAAACAAAAGAACATAACTCTGATAATGTGCACTGTCCTTGAAGTTGATTGGTCCACACCCGAGACAGCTTTCCTTCGAGCCTAGTCTCATTATGACTGCAGGTATTGCGGTCTATGCAAACATGACTCCTTGCAAAAAGGTGTCAGTTTTGTTGCCAGATAGAAGGGTAAAGAACCAATTATCATATTTTTACTGGCAAATGAGGTCCCCATAGTGTAAGTGTGTCGTTAAACCCGCCACCACCCGACGGCTAATTCGTAAGGTTTGTCACGTACGCATACTTTGTAAATGGTGTTGGGTTCACTCTCCAACACACGGGTGTGCTGAACTAGTAACGAATTGGCATGTTCTATTTACCTGACAAACCTTACTAATGGTGGATTTAACGACATTTATATTTACGCGATCTAACCCAAAAAAAACCCTCTTAAGGAAAATGGTTAAATACTTGAAGGTGCAGTACATATAACAAATATATATTTTTTGTGCTCATTGTCTTATTGCAATTTGGGTAGTGATGTTAGATAAACAACAGCTTTGGCGCAGTATCTGTAGTCCTTAAACGTATGCTAAATAAACAGATGAAGCAATGGGTTTTGAAGACTACTATTGCATGAAATTTCTGTTTAGTCGCCCATCAATACATTACATTAAAAACAATGAGCCTCAAGAACATATAGGAATAGAGTATAATTGTTGGCATATGGCATGTGCTTTTATATTTAATTATAAAATGTATGTTTTAAACCACATCACAGCAGGAAAAATGGATGTATACCTATTTTCAGGGTTTTTTTACCACAACATTGCATAGTAATTTAAACTGGTTAGATCCCTTTGAACTTTAAGCTTCAATGCAAAAGAAGCTTCATGAACATTTTAAAATGTTTTGGCCAGGCAAGTTAAATGGGCGTGTCATATTGTATTTCCTGCTTTTGATATAAACCAAAACTGACATTTAATAAGGCCCTTTATAAGTCACCCATATGGTTCAAAACAAGTTATACACAATATATATTTTCAGCATTAAAGAAAGGGAGATAAAAAAAAAGTTAAAACGATACTTTAGTATTCGCATATATCGAATGTAATAACACGATGTAACACAATTTTTGTTCCTGGGTAGTAAGTGTTATTTCGTAATTGCTTATGGCTAAAAAGTATAGAAAATGGGCTATTATTCCCCACAAACTTTGCTTTTGTTACCAGGACAGTGATATTTTGAAATTTACCTATTTTCAATGACAAAACGGGCGAATTTGTGTATTTTCGTTCACATAAAGTCAGAAAACAATATAATCAAAATTAAAATTTATTTATACTAAAGTAATAGAAAAATTACT